AAGCTATCGGCCTTACCTCTGCCATGTTTCCTGACCATTCTGGAGCTTTTGGTATGCAATAGAGGAGCCCCGTCTTCCAATCCTTGGGGACGTCTTCTTGCACGATAGTGGCACTTATGATTTGGAAGAGGATAAAGAGCCCCTGCGGTCCTTGGTGTTGGATCATTTCGTTCGTAATGCCTGACACACCAGCTGCCTTGTTTTTGGGTGCATCCAGGACCACAGCTGAAAACTCATTTCTGCTTGGTGGATCCATCAGACCGTCGTACCATTCACTCTTGATCCACCTCTGAGGGCTATATTGCTTCTGCCATCTCGAACCCGGCTCTAGCGGTTTTGACGGCCTACGTCCGTGCCACTTGTCGAACCATGCCCGTACCTTCTCTTTAACTTGCTGTGGCTCTAGAATATTCACTGTGACACCGCCTTCGTCGTCCTGAATCCGGTCTATTGTCACTTTACCTCCGCCACGTCCCAGCACTTTGTCTATCATTTTCCCTGTTGCCGACTTCAACTCTCCACAGCGTTTCTCTATCAGGCCATTCATCGTCCTTGTCTTTTCCAGCTTCCTTGTCGCCTGTAAAAATGATATTGACTCTGTCCATCTGTGCTTTACTCCTCTTACCCAATCTTTCCATACATCGTCGCTATCCTTCGTGTCCGGTATAGTAGTGAGGCCTTCGATCTCCCCTTGTCCTTGCAGCCTCAACCACTCAGCATTCTTATTAAATTTTTTCTGCTGCTCTACCAGTGTTGTCCATCTTGCGTCTCTTTGTACTGTTGATAATCCTCTGCGGGTTTGATTTGCCAATTTTTTAATTTTAGCGAGATCACGTATGAGGTGGCGGAGACACAATTCTTGTTCTGGCTTCACTCCAGACCGACCAACCACTCTTCCTGGCAAGTTTTCTTTGGCGCTTTCTATGAGCAGCTTTGAATACCATTTCCATGCAAGGTCAATGTCGATTCTTTGAAGGTCTTCTGGCGTCAAGAGATCCTTTTCATCGTCGTTCTGGGCTCTCCGTAGGCCCATTGTAGAAGATTCACTGCCGTCTCCAATTCTTATATTCACACCGTTCTCAAAATTCTCCCAATCGTCGTTGCTGGCATCGCGAAGTAAGAATTTGTAGCCCTTGGGTTTTTTGTAAATGATGTGATGAAGTGGTTGTTGAATAAGGCGGTGCAGTGTCATTTCTAGAGTGACCATTTTGTGGTCTGACGCCACAATACCATCCAATGATTTGTGTTTGACCCTGAGAAGCCTATCCGTGAATACACTAGATACAAAGATCATGTCTATACGGCTCGTATTCTGGCAGGTATAGTCTTCACGAAGAGGGTGTTGAGCGCGGAAAACATCATGAAGTGGCTGCGTCTCCATCCATTGAAGTAGTGCCGATTCTGGTCTTATACTCGTTGCGTTCTCTCGTCGTCGATCGAGCCGGGGGTTCCTAGTAGCATTGAAATCCCCAAGAATGATTATACCCCTCCCTTCTTCTCTCGCGTCGTTATATTCTTTTTGTATCCATTTAGTAATTACTTCTGCTTCATCTTCCCTTCCGCTTGGTAGGTAGCAGTTAATTACTCTGATTTTAAATCCCCCAGGAAAGTTGAAATCTCTCGCTTGGCCTCTGCTCCCACAAGATGAAGTTCTCGCAGCGTACTGGAACCAATGCTGAGCGATCAAAAGCCCAACCCCTGTTCCCTGTGTTGCACCTTCTTTACCACTCACCCACCACATTTTATATTTAGTTTGTTTCAAATTTCTTGCCATTTTACTCCCTCCAACATGCATGTTGGTTTCTTGGAGTGCTATCATATCTAAATCTTTCATATCACCATATTCACATAACGCTTCTATTTTCCCAGCTTCTAACGCACCCCGTATGTTAAATGATCCAAATTTAATAGCATTGCTATTAGATCTAGTACTGTCCTGTCTATTTTGAGTGCTTGCATTACTCATTATGGACTAGTGGTTTTGGCGGCAATCCACTTGAGGTTGATTTCTCTTCTTTTCTACTTTTTTCCTTACTACCTGCTCCGTTTGCTATGAGAGCCATAATCCCTGCTAGGGACTCGTTAGTAGGAGGCATGCCTGGAAAAGCAGCTGACTTACCTTTGTTTTTGGGCACGTTCCTGTGGAACTCTCCACTCAGTCCTGCTGCCTTCAGGTGCTCGGCTGCGAAGTCCATTCCAAGATGTTGGCTCATCATTCCTATTAACATTTGGATTAGTAGACTGTTTTGAGCACGTAGTTGTTGTTGCTCTTCCTGTAGGCGTTCCACTGTATCTACCAGTTGCTGGATTTTCTTATCGACTGCACCAGTGTTGCTGTTCTTTCCTATGACGTTTGTTTGACCAGAACTTTGGATATTGGTTTTTTCTTCCTGTGCCTTCTGTTGGTTGCTTTGAGTAACACTTCCACTCTTTCCCGTGGCGGCTTTGGCGTATGAGAGTTGTGGTACAACTTTCAGTGCTCCTCCCTTTTGGTATTCCTTGACAGCTTTGATGTGCTGCTTTGTCTCCTGGAGTGCAATGAATACCTCGCATTCCCTCATGATGTGTCCTGGTTTGTGGCATTGTCGGCATCGTTTGTCGTCCTTATCACCCCAGAAAGTCTCAATGCCCCCGATTTTGACTGGTTTAGTCATAGTTTCCGCCATTGCTTCTGCAGAGGGGAAATACACGAATGCTTCTCGTTGATATTGCCATTTCTTCCCGTCTTTTGAAAAATAGCGTGGCACTTTGACGAAATTCGCTTGCTTTTCTCCAAGGAGAGGCTCCAAGTCCTTGTCTGTCGTTCCAAAAGGGAGACCTGAGATTTTTGCGACGTGTGTCAATGTCCACTCGACTCGTTCATTGCCGATTTTGCGGATGCGCGCGAGTTCTTTTCCAATGAAGACGTGCTCCCGGTTGGCCAATTTGAATTTTGTGACGTCCTCAACATTGTTATAAACTACTGCTGCGGTGATCTTGACTCCCTTGGAGCATGGGCGGGTTGCAATCTTTTCAATAGTACCGAACTGCAGCATTGCTGACTTGATAAGGAATTCCGGAGTCCTAGGAGCAATACCATAAACCTCCACTGTGCGTTCCAGTTCACGTTCACGGGTGTCGGTATTCATTTCAAAAAACAATGGGACTTCGTGTTCATTTCCGTCTTCATCTTTGTGTGTAGCAGTCATTTCCAGGAGCGCTGTCAGGGATGGTTGATCCTCAACAGCAACACGGAAAGCAGTATATCCATTGACTTTGACCTTGTGTGGTCCTTCTGTGCAATAGATGGCAGCATCCAACAAGACTGTTTCCAGGTCTTTCTTTTTTTCGGCAACCGTTGTTCCATAAAGGTCCTCGAGGAAGACGCCGGCCGCCTTCAGCCTATCCTTGGTGCGTCTCACTTCCTGCCATTCTGTGACTCCCACAGTGGCCATTGCGTCATCGTCTTCGTCCATTGCGTCCTGTTCTTGTGTAGCTGCACGCAAGCCATTTGCACCCAGGCTGCGGTTATACGAGGGACGGCTCTTAGAGCCCGTTCCCTCGTCAACGCGGCTCCCGCTCGCCTCTATGCCGCTTGCGGGACCGACTTCTTGGTTGTTGGGCTGTCTTTGAGATCCGATTCCGCTATTTGGATTTTTTTTTTTTTCCTGTTAACAAGAACCCACAGAGGTGAGGAATTTTATTTCATAATCTCGCTCTAAAGTAATGATATCGCCCTCAACTATGAAACAAGCGAAACTCTCAAAGTTCGCACGGGATGGCTGTGAAGAGCCAATTCGTATCCATGTTTTTCTCTACCAATGTACACCGTGATCGGTACTCGAAGTCCATCCTTCCGATGTGGCCTGTTGCGCCCGTGAAAAGCTGCGGAGGCTGGCGTGCCGACTCTAGCTAAGGACGACTTTTTTAATTTTTTCTATTAGATCAAATCCACTGGCATGTGGACCCAAATCTTGCGGAATTGGTCTGAAATTTCTATTTTGGACTCCGTCAAACTTTGTGATCATCGCTGTCCTAGTCAAGTGGGTGGATGGGGGGATGTGCTGCCAGATGTACCGCTGGTTCGGCTGGGGGGTGGAATATATACCTAAGACATGTGGCCAGCCAGGCGACTTAGGGTAGTGCACCCACGATCTTAGCCTTAGCGGAGAACACTAGGCTGTCTCGGAGAGAAAGTATAAAAACTCAAGCAAATCCCTGACCTGGCACATGTTTGCTTCACTTTATGTGCCTTAACCAGGACTCGAACCCGGCCCCTGGGCTAGACAGGGGGGTGCCCTGACGAGTATACTACTCAGCCAATCCGATTCCGCTATTTGGAATGCGAGCTCTTTTCGAATGAGGGACATTTCTGTCCAAATTGGGTGGATCATGTTGCTGATTTTTTCCTAATGCAGGTTCCATGATGAGTGATGTCGTTGGCACTCTTGTGCGCTAACAGGGGGTGTGGAAGGGGTGTGTATAGAGAGGGAATGTGTAAATGTAGCGTATCCGATGGTGTACGGAGAAGAGTTTTGGTGCCCTGACGAGTATACTACCTAATGTATGGAAGCCACTATATCCAAACACAATACTACTGGATATAATGATAACACAAGGTAATTAGATTTTAAGGAGATCCAAAACTATGCGCAGGACACCTTGCCCGGCTAGCTCAATCGGTAGAGCATCAGACTTCTAATCTGAAGGTTGCGGGTTCGATCCCCGCGTTGGGCTAATACCTGTATCCGGTATGATATTTTTTTCTCTATTTTTGAGAGCAAAAAGTATTCCTGGACACCCTGGACACGGAGTAACATGGTTCTTTTCTTGAATTGCAACTAAAGTCAAATCGATAGATAGGGCATATCTGCTACATCTGCAGTCACTCGTATGGTTCCTGTTGTTTGTCAGGGCACGAATAACATTACTTGATAATGAAACATCATTTGAATTGAGCTCTCTCATATGCAGTAAGTAGAACATTAAATATATATTTCTATTTTTTTTTTTGGCATTCACTTCCTTTCGTCTCTCATTTCTCACCTTAGCTCTTAGACCAGTGCAGACAACCATTACGTTGCATGCTTGTAACTTTGTGCATCATCTTCCATTACAAGTACTGCCTCCTATCCTCGTCTACTTTCCACTGCGATGCATAATGGCTACTTAGGTGGTTGGCCTCCACGGGTCCCCACTTCGCCTGATACTACCACCATGTCCGATCCTTTAGCTGGACCACAGTCTTCTTGCACAACTTCCCTTGCTGGCCGTTCTCCTACTTCTATTTCTTCTTCTTCTAATAAAAATAACTTACCTAATCCAACGGATACAATCAACAGTCAACCAGATGGTATATGTTGTGTCCAGCAGAATTCTGGAACAGCTAAAGCTAAAGCTACGCTCCAGCCTACACCTACAGAAACCATTGAACCATCAATATCGGATACAGTACGGCCCCATGCTAAAAGGCAGCTCTCTCGGTCTTTCTCTGCAACTTTGATTAAAACTGATCCTATAACCTTGCGGAATACGGTATCAGGAGGCTTACTAAGTTCGCCCATCTCGGTCCCGCCTGGTGCATTCCACCCTTATTGCAGCGCCTCATTCTTACCAAGTACGATTCGCCCTCACGCACAATCAACACCGCCATCAGGTGGTATTACTACACCTTCCTCTGTAGATGCTATCGCGAGACATAACTTTGCATCAGGAACAATATCTGAAAGTCCTACTGTGCCTCCTGCTCTCTCTGGCAATAATAATGGCAGTCAAATGAAGAGATCACAGTCTCCGGAGCTTATGCGACCTCTTTATCATTCTTTTTCAAATGTGAGCATGATGCCGCCACCACGCTCTATATCTTTTGCGGGAACCTCTAGCCGACCTGTCTATTTCATCAGTGCCGTTCGCTAAGTTACCTGCAGATATCAATAACAGCCCACCCCTGTTTACGACAAACACGCGAAAAGGTCAAATAGTAGGAAATAAAACACCTAAGAAAGGGATCAAAAACAGGTTTAGAAAGCTTCGAAGAAAACAAGGATCGAGTTCGCGTGATAATGGTGGAGTAAATGCCTTCATCACAAGTGGAGAAAGTGACTCGGAGGCTACATTTGGTAAGAATCACAAAGGTGTATGGATCTATGGATGTGGTTTTGAGAGAAGGGTTTGTGGAAATATGCAAGTATGAGTGGGAGTTTTATGTTTAAACAATTAGATCTTCCTAAACATAAGCTAAGGAAAGCATGATTGATGAATTTCCCTCTAGAACCTGAATCAGATCTCATATCTAATGTTGGAGGCATCACACATAGATTTCCATCAGCACCAGAAAGCAAAAAAGCCTCATTGTCTACACGCTCGAAACTAAAGTATACCGACTCTGGTCTCCCACCACAACTCCCACCACGAAACGGCCCCAGCAGCATTATAACTCACTTCAACAATGGGCAAGGCCCAGTAACGCAAGGTAAAGGCGGTAGCTTGTCTGGATCAGAGCAAGGGCACGAAAATAATAAAGCAGTACGTTTATTATTAAAGAGCGTGGGCTTCTCAAATCAGCATTCAACTGCGCCCCTCTCAACCGCACCATCTGCTCGAGATCTGCATGGGACTCAAAACGGTGTCATGAAACCAATACAAACTCGTAGTACATTCCCCTTATTTGGAGACTTCCTTTCGGGAGATGATCAACCCTCGACTTCCAAAGGCTTCAAGCTGAAGGGTTCAGGGCGGCGTAAGAGGCGCTTCACAAAAAAAACTCACTCTGTTGCCACCGGAATGTTTACTCCTTTCGCGACAGCTGCTACAGATGACGAAGACTCATCAACATCCCGGTCGAGCCGTCACCGTCACCATCATGGGTTTCTCCATAGCTTCCACCACCGCCATCGTAGTCGGTCTGTCGGAGAAGAAGTTCGCCATCAGATACCGGTGACCTGGTGCCTGGAAGCACTCATTTCGCCTGCACTAAAGGAAGCACGTCAGGCGAACCCAGATCCAAACTTGCTCTTGGTGGAATTAGAACCATTACCAACTAGCTTTGTCAATGCCTTTGCAACGCTATCCGCGTCCAAAACTCGTTTCCAATCGCAAACGTACCAACAGCAACATCATCCATATACTCAAATACAACAAGGCCCTTTGGCACCACATGTCATACCATTTTCTATCTACAGTACACCTATTGGTACGCTCACTAATTACGAGCCTCAATCAATGCCTCAGCAGTCGAGAGCGAATGGCCTGGACATCATAGGGACAAAATCTTTTCTTTTCAGATCTTATGAAAACTCAAAGTTCCAAGGATACTATATATTTCGAGTTCTGGGCAAAAATGTCGAATATAAAAAGCTATCCTTGAAATTGGAGCCTGCATGTGCACAATATTTTCGGGAGGCATATGTGACCTACCGTGCATTAGAGAAAAAAGCAAAAACATTAAGAGAAGAACAAGAACAGAGCCGGATTGCCTCTTTCTGGCCGAATGATGGAGGTCAAGATGATACGTCTGAACAACTAGAAACCGGAATTTTAAGCACTGCCCTCTCTAAGCCAACAAAAGAGTCTGTTCGACTGAGCGGCAGTGAACGAGACAAGCAAAATCTAGGAGAAAAGATCGTCAAATCTGCATTAGCTTGGGATCAGACGCGCATGACAAGCTCAGGAACCCTAAGTGAAAGTCCCATAGCTTCCCCTGTTGGGATATCTTCTGGACGGGCACTTGGGTATTTGGATCAGCGGTACAGCCCCATAAGCAGCAGTAATTTGTTTCTCAGAGGCATTGCAGGAACACCTGATCGGTCTAGAAGCGATCCTACAGAACACCATGAGCCACCATTTTCAGTCCGACAGATAAGTAATAACAACAACAATAATTTATCCAAGACAATACCGTACTCTGCACAGCTCCTCAGCAGGAAATGGTCGTGGACAAGCGTTAAGGAGCAGCAGCGACTGGAACAGCTACAGCTACAGACAGCCGAAATTGCCAAATGGAAAGAGATGGAGCGAAAATATCGCGAGGAATTTCGACAAGCAACATTTGGCCTGGAGCTCTATCTTGGTGAAATTGCCCGTGGGCTCGAATACGAAAAATTCGATACCGCAGTTGATGTGTCCATTATGAATGATAATCGTAAGTATTTTTTAATAATATAAAACACGACAAGCGATGGGTGTCCATGAAAATTCCTTAGCTGTTGACACCACATATAATTTCTTTCTTTTTTTTGTAATTTCATAGATGCCACAGCGATATTTTCTATGCTCAATGGTGATAGGACTAACATTATGTGCCTCGAGTCCCCTTCCGTTAAGCTGAAGTGCGAATTTATAAACTGGATTGCCATAAGTGTCATGGACCACGGAGGTATGGTTAATAGCATTCAAGGAATCAATGGCGGCTGAAAAATATTTATGTAGTTGCGTTGCTAATCTTATTCCCTTTTTACATTGCTGCTATTTTTTGACGCTTTAGACGTGGAGAGCGACCATACTATTGATTCATCCAAGCCACATGGAGGGATAGGCTTTGATGCATTTATGGATTCCAAGAAACACCAGTCCGAAAACATCTCTGAGTATGCGACGGAACATGTAGAGTGTCCCTTATCAATACTTTATTTTTATCACAAATTTATTTACTCCTTTATTTCGCGATAAAACTAGGGATATGGATTTGTTGATTGATATGATTGATCTCCGTCTGGCACAACAAGAAGGCAAACTTCAAGCAAGCTATGCAAATATCCAGAACGTATCACAGCAGATTGATATGTGTCTCGATAAGTTGAATAAATTGGATGATGGTGCTAAAGTGAGTACATTTGCAAGTCTTATATAATTGAATGCCGTGACTATGAATGAATAATCATTTTTACTGTACAATATGTGTATTAGAAATTGATGACCGCTATGCTACGAGCGATCGATAATCAAGAGATTCAGTTAGCCCTTAGGCCATCACCTTCCACTGGCAAGACGTTAGCCGAAACTGTAGACGCGAAGCTCAAGGATGTTAACGAGAGAATTGTGCTCTGCACGAAGATCATGGGCGCTGCACGCTTTAATGTAGGTCTCTCTTTTTTTTCCGAAGCTTCGCTTTATCTGCTCTATGCAGGGACACTAACTGCTTTTTTTTTTTTTTTTTTTTTTTTTAAAAAAAAAAAAAAAAAAAAGCTGAATCGGCTTCGAGACGAAATCGGATTGGAACAGCGTTCAATTCGTCTGCTCCGTAAATACAAGATCATTATTGCAGCATTCATTTTGATTTTTTTCCTCTGGCTTCTATACTATTCACCGTCTTGACCTGCAGTTCTGTGTCATATGTGATAAATAAATTGTGGTACGCAAGGAGAAAATAAATATTATCGCATTCAGATGAGTACCAAACTTTGAATGGCAACCAGGTTTGTATTATTACCATTGTTATTATTAACTGTATTACGTTCAAGGTGTGAGCATTATGGATAATAGAAGCGTTGTATATGAAGCAGCGCCATATAGTCTATGATAGGATGTATAATGCGTTCTCCTTCTCGTCCTCTTCCTTTCTTCTCCACTCGCTGCCTGTTTATCTTCGCATGGTATATAGGTAAGGCTTTTTTTATTTTATTTTTCTTAAATAAGAGCGACCAAGAAGGCACCAGAGCTGATAAGAGCGACGCGGCCGAAGTTCAAGCTCTGGAAGGCGGCGACAGCAGCACTAGGCTTGCTGCTAGCGGAAGGGGAAGCACCTCCAGGGCCAGTGGTAGTTGTGGAATTGGAAAGAGTAATAACGGCTGCAGGGAAACCATCAGTCTTTCCGTTGGCGTCAGGGACGCTGGTCCAGTTGTTCCATTCGTTATTGACGCAATGCTGGTAGACCTTCCAGTAGAGAGGGCCTTCCTGAGTTGGTAACTTGAACTGCAATCCGAAATCTTCGTACATGTTATCTTGGATTAGACCATTGGACCAGGTAATAGAACCAACGGTGGTATTGATGGTGCCCGTAGGTGTGGTGATGGGGGTATCGAGAGGTACCATGGAAATGGTAGTATTCCAAGGATAGAGAGGGCGGGGCTTAACTGAGGAAACACCCTTGGGGATTTCGACAATGACCAGGTTTGTAGCATTACCATCACAACCATGAGGGACACGAAAACTAGTCTGAAAGTAGGACCCTGAGACAGCAGCTGAGGGGTTGGCAGTAACATGGGCTTCGGCCAACGGGGTGGCGAAGAGGATAGTTGAGATGGCAGCAGAGGCGACAGCAACGAACTTCATGGTTGAAAAAAACTGATGTGATGTATTACAGTAAAGAGATATAGAAGACGGATATATGACTGAGGAAGTGGTAGCAAAATGTGGCACGACAGTAAAGAAAGAGAAAGCGGGAGAGGGACCATTTTATACTGAATCTATTGACGATGATGCTTTTTGCGATAGTAACTAATTCTTGCATCTTCATTCCTTATCTAGTGCTGATAACCTTGGGAAAAATATATTAGTGGCCTTGTTGCTTCTGGATTGGCTCAAGCTCTACAACAAGAGTTTCTAAAGTGCTACATGTATTTGTTTTTGAATGTATAGGGCAACGGAAAACAAATAGAAGGCACGTTGTTTGTTTGTGTCAACGTCAAAATTGTGTACCTCAAAGGAGACAAGGATTTGTCTCTTTGTCAAACCTTAAATAATACATTTACTCAGTCTGTCAACTCTCTTTATCAACTTGACAAATATAAACTATTGACACGGCCATGGTAGTACCTGAAAGTCCTCCTCCTTCCTCTACCCCTGTCTGCCAAAATTGGCCCTATACTTTATTTTGTTGTTCGAGCAACTCTTATAACTGTCGTTAGTGAATTCATATCGATACGTCCATAAGAGACAGATCAATAACTTGAACAATAACACCAATAGATCTCCTTCACACAGCTGACCATACAGTAAAAAGAAATTTTAATCGATGCGGGGTTTACCATTAAGGATGTCATTTCATCAAAAGGAAAGTAGAAAAAAGAAAAACATCACAAAAAGCCTGTACATGTATGGGTTAAGGTACTGATGGGCGGTCGGTCCCGAGTCAGCGTTTTGACAGGTACATGAATATTCTTTTAAAGTTTGTCAAAAGTAAGTCAAAAATTAACCTATTGTGTTGTCTGGAAGATTCTTCCGCCATACAAGTACAAGTACATGTATAATATTTTTATGTGCATGTACACGAACATGCTTACTGACTCGGGATAGGTATTTGACTTCCTTGACATTGTACTTTAACATTCTTTATAGATTGCTCTCTGGCTTAATCAGATCTCCCTTGGTTTAATGGGCCATCTATCTAAAAAGTTAATAGAATTATCAGAGCTAAACAGGGAAATCCTTACAACAGATAGAAGGAAACATGCCATGATATATATATACATACGTGATAGGATGAACGACACTATTCAATTGCATATATCCCTAATAAAATCTAGAGGGTGTTTTAATCAATGGCCGTGTGATATCTTCGTGATATCTTCTCAAACAGTAAAGACAAAATGCGAGATGGCCTTGTAAAGAAATAAAATAAGTCAGTTCACTATGGATACGATGGATATACACAAATATATTCATTATACACGTGTCTTATTTCATCAATGATTGATCCATTTTAGTATCTAGTGCTAGAAGAAAGGAGTCATCTACGTTAATTTTGGCGAATACATTCATATTTTACAGTTTTGTCATTGTTGTCAAAGGCTGTAAAAAAAAAGAAAAAATACTTTCCAAGCCTTCTCTTGAGTTCAACACATGTGTTCAATGGAATTCATGTCAGGGGACTGTGGTGGCCGGTTACGAACGTTATTTATTTTTTAATGAAGCTTTGTTCGTTTAGTCCTTTATTCCAATCCAGTTCGCTCTGAACATGCAGTAAAAGCGGAGGAAATAAAGAAGGTAAAATTTTTGCTAATTTTGATATGCACTGTATATTATTGTAAATGTCCTATTAGCATGCAATCCAGAACTACGCCAAGGTAACGGATAGTGGTAAATGTACGGCAGTCTGGACTACCCTCACGTTCTTCATATTGGAAAATAAGACGCATGCATACATGTATTTGATTTGTCCGACAGTATGAATCAAAGCGTAATAGGTGGTTTTATCCGACTCAGAGGTCATAATATAGAAAGGTAAGACATGCACTTTATTTTTATTTTGATATTGAATATGACATTTATTTACATTCGGATTATAGTGGAGCTTACGAAGAAAGTAAGATGTGCTTTTAACCGCAGCCAGCACAACCAGTTCCACTGGCAGCATTGGCGTTGGATTTGATCATAACTACTGAACGTTGCCTTGAAAAGACTACTGAGCCAACGGTTAGGCTGAGAATGACGGCAAAGAACAAAGGCACATTAAAGGTCATAGTAACTAGCATGAGTGCATATCCAAGTGTAGTTTCGATAAAAGTCAGCACAGCACGGAACATGTTTTGCTTTGCCTCCTTCAGCGTCCAAGGTTGGCGCCAGATATGCATCCATTGGAGGAGGATTGGATTGGAACGCGAGCCTTTGCTAGAAGCCAAAGGAATGGAAGAATCCGACTTTGAAACTTCTTCACTTTCGGCTATATACTCCTCCGCCCATTGGGCCTCGAGGCAGTTATGGTAGGTCTGAACAGTCTGGAAAAAAAGTGTGAGGAAGAAGAGTGCAAACCAAGTACCAATGTACTGGCTCTGATTTCGAGGAACCCACTTCTCAAATAAGACATAATCCGAGAAGCCTAAATGGAAGTACATACGCATGGCAGGCGGGTTCATATCAGGACTACCGACACCAGCAGCGCAGTATTCGGAATCCTGGAAGTTGAGAACTGAGGCAGTATCAGAAGAAGAGGAACACATGGATTTCCAAGCAGCACACTGGTGCATGTCTGGCATGGCCTTGCACAGGATCGCATAAGTACCGAGGGTATCACAATCAGCCGCATAGGTATCGGGCTTGGGTTTGGGGCATCGCTCACAACCGGCCATATCCATCTCTGTGCAAATGTCAATGACGAGAGCTGAGGCATTCTTGGTGGTCGGGAACGCCGAGATCATGGGGGCCTTCTTGCAGATAGCAGGCCGAGCGGCCAAGGTCTGATTCACGGCAGCGCCACAGAGAGCAACATAATTCTTACAGTCGCGCATGTTAGGCATATCCAAGGCACAGATGTCTGCCAATACTGAGAAAGGTGTGCACCACTGATCAGCCTTGGAAGCAGCCTGACATGATTTATAGAGCGAGCAACCAGGCATGTATGGCATTTGGGTGCAGAGGCCATCTAGATCAGCTTTGATTGTCGCCTCCGGCAGCTCAAAGGAAGCGCAAGAAGGATCGGAAGGTGTAATTAGACAATCGACACTCTGTGCCTGGACATGATGGGTAATAGAGAGTGTTCCAAGAAGAAACAACAACGCCAAGTGGGGGCTGGTTCTAAGGAATGATAAGGCTTTCATTCCTTACTATTCTTTTTAAAGGGAGTGAATTAAATGAACAAGAATTTGGGTTCAAAGAGAATTCGAAAAGGACTTGGTTTTATACCGCCAAAAAAAAAAAAAAAAAAAAAAAAAAAGTGGAATGATCTTGAATGTCAAAAACGCCACGAAAGAGATGTACAGATGAATAAGCAATGAGAACAACAGGAATAACTACAACTATTAAAGAAGAAAATAGAAAAAGACAGGGAAATCTAGGGGGAATAGAAAGAGTATTATATAATATATGTAAATAAAGAGACAGGAATAACGCAGTGAAGGAAAAAAGAAAGGGGGGAATAAAGGAAGAAGAAGAAAATGTCAAAATAATGACAGTTGAACAACTGAGAGATGGATGCATGCCGGTTTCACCTGTCAAAAAGAGTGCGTCCACAAAAATAAACAGGCTGATGTTTGTCAAAATGGAACATCAGGAAAATTGAGGACCCAGGAAAACGAGTACCTCTTCGGTATGTCAAACATTCAACTGTCATTTTTTTTTTTCATATGTTGTATATACTCACTCCAATTCAATAAAAGCAAATTATCACACCAAGAATGAGAGCATTTTTGCGACTTTTAACAGAAGCCCACACCACCTGTCAAATCCATCAAGATATTAAACACCCCTTGACATTCATCTATGTCTGTCATCTTGAGAGCAAATATTAAACCAAGGATTTCGGTATAAAAGTGTCGTCCTCCTCCATTCCATGACCACTTCAGCATTTTTCTCTATTTTCATTCATCTCTTCCTTTCTTTTGCACAAGATCTAACAACAACTCACCAACCATAACCCAAAACAAACGAAACAAGTGAAAGATGCGCTCCTCTTTGCTCTTCGCCGTTGCCTCAGTCTTCGTCGCCTCCGCTACTGCTCATGATGGTCATCCTCACGATCCCCCAGCCACTGCTCCTTCTGGCTGCTTGGCTACTCCCACTGATGCCGTATGTTCAACATTTGTTGTACCAAATGCAACCATTACGGATGCTATCAAGGAGATCTGTGCTATCAACTCGTTCTTGCCTGGATGCTCACTCAACGCTGCCTGCACAGCTGATTCTAAGCTGAGTACCACCTATTGTGCACCAATGACTATCTTGGCCTCGCTCTGCATCCCAACGGAGGATGCAGTTCTCACTGGTACTGTTTGCTCAAAGAGCTACTCTATATTTTGTGCCGCCAACTCTCTCATTCCTGCATGTAAAGGTCAGCCTGCATTCCCCGGTCTTCCTTCTGGTAAGACCGTGACTGGAACTGTTTATTCTATCTGTCAGGAGATGCCCATGATGACCGATTGTAAGATTTGCCCCACGCCTGAAGCATCCGGCTACAGCAATTGTGACGAAGTTAAGGCATGGAAGGGATTGTGCCTCGATATGCCTGACATGAAGCAGTGCCCTTCTTACAATACTATGTGCTCCAATACCAAGTTTGCACCTTTCTGCGACCTCAAGTATGTTGCACCCAACCCTGGCAACGGCACTGGAACCACTACAGTACCTTCTAAACCCACTTCCACCAGTGATCACTCTGACCATGGCAAAGGCTTCAACAGCGATGCCGGTATAGTCGCTAACTCTTTTGTCAAGACGTTGGTCCTGGCAACTGCAGTCGGTGTTTCTGCATTCCTCTTCTAAAATCAATCACCGTCTCCATATTATTCCTTTAATAGTATATACTTTCCCCCTTCGCTTTTGTAATATATAAATCTGCGCACTCGCGTATAATCATTATAAACGCTTAATCTGATTAACTGTTGGTTGAAAAAGAGTAAAGAGTTGCCTGATACCCCACAGATGTCTCACTGGTTCCGGTTCCTTCTATTCGGCTGGAAACATTTTATTCATTTTTCTTTCTTTCTTCCGTAGCCTTCGCTTCCGCTGTCTCAGTCACTTCAATCTTCTCTTGCTTACATTTGGCGCTTCGTTACTTCGGCCGAAATTTCGCATCTTCTCTTTATCGCCTTTTTCTTTTTCTTCCAACCTAGCTTGGCTCAATCCTTTGTCTCTCGTGCAATGTTCATGATTATCTTTTCCTCTCTCTCTTATTCGTCCTCCAACCCTTCGCCACCGAATGGTATTCGCGTTTATCACTCCTTAGCCCTACTTTAGACGGACACAACACAGACTTACATTTACACACACTCTCTCTTTCTCTCTTCTATAACAATCCAAAAAAAAAAAAAAAAACTTAATGCCTATGAATAAAACTCAGGCTGCTCTTATCATTAAACTGTGTCGCTTCAAAGCGACTCGATTGTCTGTAAGGGCTTCTTCCTTGAGTATAACAATATCCCTACGCATTTAGTTTCTAACGAATCTATTTTGTTCAATCTTTTTTTTTTTTTTTTTTTTTTTTTGTTTGATATAAGCTCAAACAAATATACACACTTGGACGGTAATGAGAGGAAGTAAAAAGACAAAGAAAGAATCTCACTGTTCTGACTTTTTGTCTTGAAGCAAATACTCATATGACTTGTTCTGTTCATTAGACATGTCCTCGCGTCAAATAATCAAGACGCGTTGGTCATCCCTGCAGTGTTCTTACATCGAGAACTCCCTATCCGTCTGTCGCATGCCCTCAGCATGTTGAACTCAAAACTGCTGGGGACTAATATGTCAGAGATGCCGACCTTTCAGAACATCGCCAGGTCCTACTTGGAAGACATTAGGTTTGTTCCTTCAATGTATTTTATGCACTTGTTTGCCTTAATTTTTAGAAAAAGAATTGGATCGGGAAGGGAAAGATACTGCAGAGTGGAAGAAAAAAAAGATGATCTCATACAACAGAGCAGTAGGACAAGGAATACCAGCCGAATGACCATCTTTTATTACTATTAGGAGTAACTGATCCAGTTTTCCACGTTCAGTCCTTTAAGCTTTACTAAAACCGCTCTAACATACTTTTACACCTCCTGTTTTACTTGCTGATGAACTATATGAATTCATCGGTGACATACCCACAAATGATATTATTAGCCTTTTGGTCCAGATGCCGAAGCCATCAAGCCCTCAGCTAGAGAAAGAGTTTACAATGTTGCTCCGAGACCTAGGCCATCGACACAAAATCAAGATGTTGGCTCTCAGTCAGGGTTTCAAAGAGTTTACGAAGTCTCTCCAAGCTCAGTTCACAGATTATCGAGATGACGCTACCTCGACTAAAGCTAGTCTGCAATCAACTACTGATAATAAAAGGTTGCTCATTGATCCACAAATGGACAGGGATATCCAGGCCTATTTCGATAGATTTTATTCCATCAACCTTAGTACTCAACTTTTAATTGGTAAGGATATGTTTATTGTTTATTTTTTGTAGGGTCTGATTCAAAATTCCAAGTTCCTATGTGACATCATGACTGTAAATTAACTGGCTCCTTTTCATTTACGAAGGTGAGCAACTTGCGCTCCGCGATCACGAGTTAAACTTAGCGCAGCGTGTGAATCTGCTCTCGACCTCACAGCGTGCTATCAAGGATGCTCAACGTGTTTGTTCCGTACACTATGGACAACCGGCGCCATCCGTCTTGATCCAGACGTTTAACCCAGACATCACCATGACTTATGTGGATGATTTTCTCCATCGAACCATCTTTGAGCTTCTCAAGAATGCCATGAGAGCAACTTGTGAGACACATTTGAGCAAGGATGGGAACCCAATTTCGCTTGGAATGTCTAAGCTATCAAGTCTTGGTACTAGCTCAAAACTACCGCCCATCACACTGGCACTAGTTGACGGTAGTGAGGATGTGACAATCAAGATCACAGATCAAGGCGGCGGGATAGCCTTGTCACAATTAGACAAGATCTGGAGCTATATGCACTTTGCCACTTCAGTCACACCAAAGGCTGAAAATGAACGACTTGGGAATGAACAGGGAGTAGGTATGTTGCTTACAGATCCAAATTCTAACGCACTCGCGAGCGGATTGGCCGATGAGACCAAAGGCTACTTGAACCTTCCTCTGAGTCGATCTGGGCATGGTCTGCCTCTATCACGATTGATCGCTCGATATTTTGGTGGAGACCTATCTCTAGTCTCGATGGAAGGATATGGCACAAGTTCGTATCTGTCGCTGTACAGAGATGATAACCACCTGGAAAACTTTCCGGAGATGGATGAAGAGGTGCTGGGAAACATTGACATCTTCGTGAATAAGCTATTGGATGAATATCCCATAGACCTTGACAAGACCTATGCCGATGTCGCCAAGATCAGCCCCAAGGAGTTATCTCAGCCCCAGGTTAAATCATTGGCCATGAAACAAGTGCCGTCTCAAATGTCCTCGAAAAGGGTGCTAGATCTGAGAGAGAGTAACAACGCCAGTGACTCCAAGGTGCCCTTGAATATTTTCATCCCTACTCGTAGCGAGGCGTCTTCATCCATTATATGATTTGAACTACCTTTTAGCAAAAAAAAAAAAAAAATACGTAATAGAGTAGCGTAAATATAAAACGGTGTACTATACTAAAAAGAAATGACAACAATAGCAATAAACCATGGTATTTATTCGTTAAAAAAAAAAAAAAAAAAAAAAAAAAAAAAAAGGAAAAAAAAGAAAGGATATTGGATTGAAAAAGAAATCAAATAGATATTGATTGACAAATATGGGCTATATTACAATGAAACATGGCGATAATGCTACAAGTGATCTATCTGAAAATAGAGCCACTAAAAAAAAAAGTAAAGGTGAAGGAGGAGTGAGAGAGAAAAGTTCACTGTTACTGGTTTGCTACGTGTAAGCTTTACCGGCTACATGGGACCGGATAAATGTGAGGGATGTCCTGCAACCGCTGATCATCCAGTCCAGAGCCAATGACACTTCCACCATTAGTCTCATTTCTTTGATTCACAAGTCTCATCTCAAGTCTGCTGGCCTTCTCTTGCAGCATACGATTCTGGCGCTCCAAATGCTTGATGAAATCGACAGCCTTGAATAAAATCGTTGATTTGGAGCTGTTGACATCCTTGAGATCTGGAATGATGTCGGTCATATCTTTGAATCCATTACGAATTGTATTTCGACGCTTCTGCTCGGAGGCAATATGGTTGGCACGTTTCTCCTCCTCTGTCAACAACTCCTTATAAGGCTTACGCTTTGCCGTAGCCGGAGCTGTGATTGTCGTAACAGTATCTGAGACTGATCCATCCGAGACTGATGTGTTTCTCTCTCGCCTGTTTTCCACCAACTCTCGTCGTGCTCGTGAAGGTGAAGAGACCAAGGTGGGCGAGGTAGATGATGCGGGATGTTCGTCCTCATCCCGTTTATTCTTCTTCGGATTGGAAGATCCATTGGTTGGATTGTTGGTATTGATTATACTAGGATTGCTGTTGCTATTAAGTGAGAGTTTTGAAAGTTGCTGGATTGGTGTCGAAATTTTGCTGGATTCTTGGTTGATAGAGGCTGTCCGTCTTGCCTCTGCGCTCTTGGTTGGCTTTCGCTTACTAGGGTTGGTATAGGCAGATGAAGAGGAAGGAGACGCGGGTGAAGCTGGGGATTCAACGCCATCGACAGCACCATTATAGCTAAAATGAGAAGGAAAAGAATGCGAACCACTAAAACTAGATTGGGATGAAGGCGAGACCAACTCGAAATCCATAGTGCTGGCATTCATCATACTCTGGGTTGAGCCAAGAGATGATGATGACGATGAAGAGGAAGAGATAGAGCCTCCGGTGAGAAAGGAGGAGCTGCTGTTGCTGCTGTTTTCAAGATTGAACCCGTTGGGCATGGTTTCGGAGGTGAAGAGAGGCAGATTGGGAAGATTAGGTATTGAGCTCGGGTCAAAAGTGAAGTCCTGGTCGACGACCAAGGTATCGAGGAACTCTGAAAAGTAGCGCTGTTCAGAAGGGTTGAAGAGCGACATGGATGGGTCGCTTGTCAATGTAGATGGAGAAGCGGGCAGGTTGAGAAAATCCTGATTTGACAGTTTAAAATCTAGAAGTGGGCATGAAGGGAAAAAGTAAGTTAGTACAGTTTACATCACGAAAATGTACCCATTTATGGAGCATTAGCATAAGCTACTTACCATCATAAGGAAGAGACTCGCCAAAGAGGCCATGACTGGGCGGAGCAAAGTTCAAAGGGGATGGCGGTCTGAACCCTGAATCGGTATTAAACATGTTCATGGTTGCACGTTATGGCTGGATGCGGAGAACTGATTCAGGTGTCAAGAGAGAAAAGGAATAGAGAAAAGGGTGCGTGAGAGAGAAAGAGGGAAAATTTTGGTGTATTTGAATGTGTGGGACTATATTATGAATGTTTTGTGTAAAAACGTGTTTGTCTGTTGTGGAGAAAGGGGAAAGTTTGTGTACGGAAGAGAAGGGAAAGTGATGTGGAGATGGCACAAAAGAAATGGATTAGACAGAGACCGAAGGAAAATAATGAGTATTTAAATAAATGAACTGATCTGAAGGAAAGAAAGAAGAAAGGAAGGAGATGATGGATGATGTGATGGATGAAGAGAAAGAAAATGTGCCTCATAAGAAAATATTTAAAAAAGAGGCGTGAAGGCTGGGGAAAAGAGTTTTTTAGTACTAACTCAGGCCAGCCAAAGGAGAGGTCGAGTGACCAGAACTGTCCTCCATCTTCTTGACCTTGACGGGAAAGAGGACAAACAGTCTCCACTTCTTTCGATGAGCCAAGTGATTGGCTACTGGAGCAGCCTCATGGACTTATAATCTACTATTTTATTTTTTGTCTTTGTAAGAAATTTTATAAAAATAAAACTGTTTAACTCGAAAATATAACATGTACACAAATGCATGTATTCAGCATAGTTTTGGATCGCTGGATTACAGGAGAACATGTTCAGGGACAAAAACGCGTGGTATAAAAAGCTTATTGGAACTTTCTTCTTGTGATGGAATGGAGTATGGAGAAGAGAAGTAAAGAGAGAGGAGCATCGATGCATATAGCATATTCTATATTATTCACATTACCTACTTGGCAAGACTCTCCAGCCTGGGTCTGAAATTCCAAAAAAGCCACATTTCAAAGCATAGTTGCCCAGAAGTGGTTGTGTTGAAAAGTAATGGACGCATTTGTGCATAGGTCCCTGCTGGCTACTATCCACTTTTAATATTATTATATATATACGTAAAGAATGACAAATGAGAGCCATTCGAATCTTCCTCTGTACCCCCATCTTCCGCGTGGTGTTTTTTCCGCCAGCTGCAAACAACAAGTATACATGTCGCACATATTGATTTGCTCGTAAATGGATTTCCAATACGCAAAACAGGGTTCTAACACCTATATTTTACATAGATATATATATTTGTATATTTATTGTGAACAAATATGTATTCATGTATACAAATACTTTAAAAAGGACAGAATCTGTCGTTGTCGAATATCATTGGATAATTGACAACAGGCTCTCTAACCTTTACTCCACATGGAGAATATCCCTTAATTGCAAGCGAAGAAAGCTATCCTCCAGAAATGCGCCCAGCGTGACTGACACATTGAGTTGCGCACGCTCTTTTTTTGTTTTTCGGCAGATTGATTTCATGATGGTAATTACTTCCTTCCATGGCTCTTATTTAGTTAATCAGGTCAAAATTCGATAATCAGTCTTCTCTATTAATATAAGAATTTCATTATTCAATTTATTATTATTGTCTGTCAACGCTCCAGTTCTAGTCCGAAGGAGCCAGCATCAGGACGAGGGACAACTCTCCATTTGCTCCATTCCATTGCTCACTATATTACTTTCTACTTATTTGTGCTCGGTTCGATTGTTTTGTCTCAGAAATGACCTCGACAATGCGGCCACTACCACAACTCCGCATCATTCAACAGCAATTTGATCGCAAGGACAAAAGGCTGTACTCTAGTACAGTCAATTCTTCAGGTGAAATATATACTACAGCGAACATTTTTTCCTTTCATTTTGCAGTCTACAATCATTGACAATTGAAGTCCCCTAAACATAATGCTACAATAGACGAGGATGCAGACAGTCGCAAAACACTTGGGACTCGATATTCGGACTCCGCCAGTAGTAATCACACCTCATCATCTGAACCATCAGCAAAAGTAAGAAGAAAACCTGGCCGCAAGCCTAATCCTGCATCGCCTGCGGTGCGGAAGGAGCAAAATAGAGCCGCTCAGCGTGCGTTTCGTGACCGTAAAGAGAGGCATCTTCAGGAAATGGAAGCAATGATTAAAGACCTTCAAGAAAAGAACTCTCAAATGAATATGCGGATTCAACAGGACACTCAACAGTTTAAAACTACTGTCGAATCGCTTCAAAGCGAGAACTACTATCTGCGCCATGTTGTCTTTTCGTTTGAAACGACATTACATAAAGGTGGAAATATGGCGATATTGCAGGAAGTCAAGGCTGAGTTCTATCGTCGTCATTACGACAGACATGCGCGGAAACAGCTTTCAGACACAATATCGTCGAGCCAGGAGCAACGGACACCAATGCCCACAACACCATCGATATTCCTTCCTAATGGCCATCTCCCTCTCCAAGTCTTAGCAGAGGAATCGCAGCAGCTATTGCATCAAAAGGTTGTCAGCGCTCCGGTTACAGCGCCAGTATCTCCTGATTCTGTTTCCCCTCCTTCTACTTCAACTACTGCTATTATACCAACTTCTTTGCCATCGAGTCCCAAATCCACCATTTCTGCTACTCTTCCAACTACGTCCCCTACCAACTCTGCCTTCGAAAATATCTCTTCCTACTCTTCATCTCCTGTATCAACAAGAACTGTCTCCTCAACCTTAATGAATGAACCTGTGGATCAAGCAATGGATCCAGACAACGCTACATTATTCCCCATCAATGATGGTATCCTTTGTAACGAACCGTCATTGGTTTGTATGCTAGAACCTGACGACGGGAAGTCCGTTAGATCTATTACAACCTGCGAGCCGCCTGTAGCATCACGACTATTTTTCACAGAGGCAGGAACATACCTAGCAAAGAGAGCAACAGAGTATACAAAACATGCGTCCGTTTTTGATGAACTTCAGTCATCCCTTTTCCCTCCTGGCACTCTTCAATCGATTATCCGTACTGATTTGGCAACCCCTCAGGAAATCGTGAATGATGTTCCTCTTTTGGAACAACTTCATGATCATTTCAATCACCATCGTCGTCCTCCACTTCCACTTAGAGATCCCGTCATCGCGCCCGCTCAAGCCACAATCACTTACTGCACTACTGCAATAGATGCTGGCTCTCCTACTGATCCAACCTCGATCTTGGATGAGGACGGCAATGAATTTGACATGGCTACACCCACACTGGGGCTGGATGACGGCTTGAAGCAGAATGTTATCCCGAGCAAGCGGCTGCAACTTGAGATCCAGGTACTTGCTTCGGCACCACCTGTAGTAGATCCCAATATTGATCCCAAGGTCTATGCTCTCCCACATGACAGCAGAATTGATTTGATTCCATGTCCGAGATTAAGGGCGCAGATGATTTTGCATCAAAAAAGTTTTGATGTTGAAGATCTATGCAGAGTTTTAATCAATGGAGCAAGGTGCCATGGCCACCCACTCGATCCTCACAGTTGGGAGTTACCTGAAGAGTTTTTTAATCGATATGGTTTTCTTTTGGGGGAGGAAATGTTACGCCACAGGAACAAGGTTTGGCCAAAAAAAGATGAGCCTCTTCCAGGTAATAACACTACACTGTTCAGACATCTGACAGATTTCTACACTTGACAAGTAGTTATTCATTTCTAAACCTTTTTTTTTTTCTGCTGTTGTTGCACAGAGACTTCTAAGGCGCACTGAAATCGAAGACTATAATACCATGATTCTACTGTGTTTTTATTACTGTAATTTTATAAATTTATGCAGTCCATTATGTAGCGATAACGACATAATAAAGAATTTTAACAAGGCATTTCTAAAAAGAATAGGATGAAGTTATTTGTACGGGATCTTTATTTCATCTACAAGCGGCAACGTGTATCCTACATGATTCTAGCTTTTTATTTCGAAGGAAATAAGCGAAGGTGAATCTAGAGTAGAGGGGAGTCTGGAATTATTTTACTGTTGGAAGTTGCAGCGCCGTGGGAGCTGCGATACTTATCGCGCTCTGTTGCATATTTCATAGTATGCAATATTATGGCCTAGCTAGAAAAAAATTAAGAAAAATACTAATGCGCTAAAAAGATTAACAGTAGAAATTAGTGGCAATAACGCGCCACACAAAGACGCGATAAATCTTTGATATGAAATTTTTAGAACGAACCTATGTCATCCTACAGATAGATACGTAGTTACCTGGTATAAGTCCCTCTAGCAGAAAATGAATAAATACCCCATGGGTGTGGTGTGTGGACCCATATCTTATTCTCACTTACTTTTCTACTGCTTACCATCTATCTACAAAATATTTTTCACGCTCTATTCCGCTCTACAGTCACCCGAAATAAAGTCTGGTCAAAGTGGGTTATTTATTATTTTTTTATTTTAAATCTCTGACAAACAGCTCATTTGTGACATACAAAAATACTTCACCAATCAAGATGGAAATTTAGGCTTTTATTAATGAGGCCAATGTGGATAATCACTGAGGTTTGTGGGCAGTACATGCTGAGGGAAAACGGCAAGAAATAGGATTGAAGACAGTGCTTCTCTTCATAACCATTTCAAAATTTTATTTTTTTGACCAAACTTTCTTTCAGGTGATTGTACAATATGAAGCTAGTCCCTAGACGCAATGAGCATCTACATGTGCTGCTGAGTATGCGACACTGCGTGCTAAAGACGATGATAGTAAGCCTGGAATGTAATGAGACAAAAATAAGGATCTTTATCAACGCAACAGAAAAGAGTATTTATACCTCTTTTCCATCACTATAAGTCACGGCTATGCTATTAAAGTATTTTAGCTATTTAGATAGAGGGATATAGGTAATTGTGGCACGATCGGCTTTGAGTGCGAACTGTTACCAACTATCAGAATATAAGTTCTCTCGGGTTACAAACGGGTGAAAGGATAGACTGCCCACAAAATAAACTGAGGTCTACCCATTGTATTTTGGTGAATTTGGTAAACAAAATTTAGTACCGAGGGCATTTGAGCTCTTAATAAAGAAGGACAGTGATAAGGACATAGAAGAAAGAGAAAAGAAAGAGAGTAGTAGTACGGCGCGCTATGCATCGTAGCAATGAGTATGATCGTTTATATATATACCGAAACAAACTACACATTAGAGGTCCCTAATTACTGAACTCATCGTTATATGCTTAATAGCGTACGGAACACTAGAGATGTATGCAAGCGCTAAATGAAAGAAAGCATCAGGGAACCATCCACAACCTATAAGAATACGACCAACAAAAGTGCAAAGTAAAGCGGCATAGTATATTCCAATTATAGATAAATCGTTTGTAATCCTTTATTTAGTCTCAGAATCGCATAAAGAATATCAACATCTATTCTGGGCTACGTACGACTTTGATAAGATAAATATTCTGGGCTACGTACGACTTTGATAAGATAAATATTCTGGGCTACGTACGACTTTGATAAGATAAATATTCTGGGCTACGTACGACTTTGATAAGATAAATATTCTGGGCTACGTACGACTTTGATAAGATAAATATTCTGGGCTACGTACGACTTTGATAAGATAAATATTCTGGGCTACGTACGACTTTGATAAGATAAATATTCTGGGCTACGTACGACTTTGATAAGATAAATATTCTGGGCTACGTACGACTTTGATAAGATAAATATTCTGGGCTACGTACGACTTTGATAAGATAAATATTCTGGTCAATATTTGATGCTTGGGTATCGAGCTTGTGCCGTGGAAGGCTTCCTGGTAGTGGTATTAAAGACTGAAATAAAGACTCCGTACAAATCTCTTTTCCAAAGAATATGTGGGTAGTGTAAAAGAAACGCCACAAGACAATGGTTAACGCTTCGGAAATGAAATAGAAAGAGCGCCAACTTCTTGGTGACAAAAAGGTATGGATTAATCTATTTGGCAGCCCAGTTGCCAAACATTATTTGGCAGCCCATACCAAATATAGTAATTTTTGCCTCTATTTGGCAGCCTACTTCTGGGGGCTGCCACTTAACTTCGCACTCTTGGGTGGCAGCTGGGCTGCCAAATACATTACTTTTTTTTTTTTTTTTTTTTTTTTTTTTTGATAAACAGGGTCATAACATCAGTGGTAAAACAAGCAGCGTTCTGTGGATACATTGCCTTGCACAGCTAATGCCGCCGGAGGTACTAAGGGCAGCGGCGATGACATCTTCACAAAACAGCCTTCAATGTACACGGTTAGGGAATGGTTTATTGAAGACGTCTAGGTAGTAGGTGAGACGCGTTTGCTCCGAGCGAAAACCTCTCATAGGCATTGATCTCCAAATGGCACCTCCAAAACTGTATGAGCGACCTACTTGAAAAAAAAAAAATAAAAATAAAAATAAATAAATAGTTAGAGGCCAAATAGCCCTGGGTAGGCTGCCAAGTAAATAATGAATGTTATTTGGCAACTGGGCTGCCAAAGAGAGTCTTGAAAGTTGATTATATTTGGCAATGGGCTGCCAAATAATATTTAGCAACTAGGCTGCCAAATAATATTTAGCAACTAGGCTGTCAAATAGATTAATCCAAAAGGTATTTCTAGATCTAAGTTGCCCCAACTCGGAGTTGAACCGAGGACCTTCCCATTACGAGTGGGACGCTATAACCACTAAGCCATAAGGGCAATAACCAGCAATAACCAAGGACGTCATTGGAGTGGTCAGCTGATTAATAAAAAAAGATCATGGGTGAACCCTTGGCGTAGCCAAAAGCTTCTGTGAGATTGAGGACGTCATGTATGGACCAGGGCAACGGGGTCAAAGGACGTCATGTATGGACCAGGGCAACGGGGTCAAAGGACATCAGGCCCAATGGCTGAGTAGTATACTCGTCAGGGCACCCTCCTGTCTAGCCCAGGGGTCGGGTTCGAGTCCTGGTTAAGGCACATAAAGTGAAGCAAACATGTGCCAGGTCAGGGATTTGCTTGAGTTTTTATAAAACTCTTCTCCGTACACCATCGGATACGCTACATTTACACATTCCCTCTCTATACACACCCCTTCCACACCCCCTGTTAGCGCACAAGAGTGCCAACGACATCACTCATCATGGAACCTGCATTAGGAAAAAATCAGCAACATGATCCACCCAATTTGGACAGAAATGTCCCTCATTCGAAAAGAGCTCGCATTCCAAATAGCGGAATCGGATCTCAAAGACAGCCCAACAACCAAGAAGTCGGTCCCGCAAGCGGCATAGAGGCGAGCGGGAGCCGCGTTGACGAGGGAACGGGCTCTAAGAGCCGTCCCTCGTATAACCGCAGCCTGGGTGCAAATGGCTTGCGTGCAGCTACACAAGAACAGGACGCAATGGACGAAGACGATGACGCAATGGCCACTGTGGGAGTCACAGAATGGCAGGAAGTGAGACGCACCAAGGATAGGCTGAAGGCGGCCGGCGTCTTCCTCGAGGACCTTTATGGAACAACGGTTGCCGAAAAAAAGAAAGACCTGGAAACAGTCTTGTTGGATGCTGCCATCTATTGCACAGAAGGACCACACAAGGTCAAAGTCAATGGATATACTGCTTTCCGTGTTGCTGTTGAGGATCAACCATCCCTGACAGCGCTCCTGGAAATGACTGCTACACACAAAGATGAAGACGGAAATGAACACGAAGTCCCATTGTTTTTTGAAATGAATACCGACACCCGTGAACGTGAACTGGAACGCACAGTGGAGGTTTATGGTATTGCTCCTAGGACTCCGGAATTCCTTATCAAGTCAGCAATGCTGCAGTTCGGTACTATTGAAAAGATTGCAACCCGCCCATGCTCCAAGGGAGTCAAGATCACCGCAGCAGTAGTTTATAACAATGTTGAGGACGTCACAAAATTCAAATTGGCCAACCGGGAGCACGTCTTCATTGGAAAAGAACTCGCGCGCATCCGCAAAATCGGCAATGAACGAGTCGAGTGGACATTGACACACGTCGCAAAAATCTCAGGTCTCCCTTTTGGAACGACAGACAAGGACTTGGAGCCTCTCCTTGGAGAAAAGCAAGCGAATTTCGTCAAAGTGCCACGCTATTTTTCAAAAGACGGGAAGAAATGGCAATATCAACGAGAAGCATTCGTGTATTTCCCCTCTGCAGAAGCAATGGCGGAAACTATGACTAAACCAGTCAAAATCGGGGGCATTGAGACTTTCTGGGGTGATAAGGACGACAAACGATGCCGACAATGCCACAAACCAGGACACATCATGAGGGAATGCGAGGTATTCATTGCACTCCAGGAGACAAAGCAGCACATCAAAGCTGTCAAGGAATACCAAAAGGGAGGAGCACTGAAAGTTGTACCACAACTCTCATACGCCAAAGCCGCCACGGGAAAGAGTGGAAGTGTTACTCAAAGCAACCAACAGAAGGCACAGGAAGAAAAAACCAATATCCAAAGTTCTGGTCAAACAAACGTCATAGGAAAGAACAGCAACACTGGTGCAGTCGATAAGAAAATCCAGCAACTGGTAGATACAGTGGAACGCCTACAGGAAGAGCAACAACAACTACGTGCTCAAAACAGTCTACTAATCCAAATGTTAATAGGAATGATGAGCCAACATCTTGGAATGGACTTCGCAGCCGAGCACCTGAAGGCAGCAGGACTGAGTGGAGAGTTCCACAGGAACGTGCCCAAAAACAAAGGTAAGTCAGCTGCTTTTCCAGGCATGCCTCCTACTAACGAGTCCCTAGCAGGGATTATGGCTCTCATAGCAAACGGAGCAGGTAGTAAGGAAAAAAGTAGAAAAGAAGAGAAATCAACCTCAAGTGGATTGCCGCCAAAACCAC